ATAAAGTTTTTGATGGTGTATCATATGCTTTGTTAAGAATGATTTTGGCTGCCCTTTTTTGTAATTTTAACATTTTTGCCATATTTGAATTACTTGTTTCTGTCCATATTGTACAGCAATAATCAAAGAAAGGAAGTACATATCCATTATAAAATAAGATAAACCTTTTTGTTATAGTTATTCTATAAATAATGGAGTGATAAGTTCACGCGTTTCGTATCTAAATTTCTGGGCTCGGTAAGCAACATCACCGTAAAAATTAGGATGTGCAATTCCGTCTGAAATAAGTTGTTTTACAGGTACAGCCAAACTTGCAAACAAAAGCTTCGTACCTATGGAAGAAAATATTACATTATAAGGGACAAAATCCTCTCAGTTAGTAAGAAAATGTATGATTTCACTATCATCATTCTCCTACAAGCTACCGACGATAGTAACCATCTGATACAAGTTACAGACGGATGTACACCATACACAATACCGGCAATTGAACACAATTTAAGATTCGCTTTTGCAATTATACCTATCTGTTACTGTTACAAGCTAAAAACGATAATATACCATCTACAACACCATACCAACGATTGTAAACAATCGAATACACGCTACTACATAAAGAAAGAAAATCGGTAAAGGTTGATTACATAAAAGTTTGGTATGAAGTTTGAACTAAGAGTAAACCTTACATCCACTTCATTTGAACTTTGGTGGATAGTTGTCTCATTGGCAATCATACCACATCTTCTTATTTTTATATCAGGATTTTTAAAGGTGAACAGAACATGAATTTCCAATTCCATATTCAACAAAGAAATTGTAATTATATGTACCGCGTTCGTCAATGATTTCCATACCACTTGTACATATGGCAACGAGCACAAGGTTTATACAATCAATACAGATAAATAGTAGATGGTAATTGTTATTGATATTTCTTTGTTATACAGACGTGTGACATCAAAAGAATAAAACCTTGTCATTGCTGCCAGGATTAAACTTGGAATTTCATACCTGGTATAATGATTAAGTGTAAACGATGATTTGTGGGAGAATATACTGAACAGAAATCAAAACACAAGATATCTATTCCAGATAGATGTCACTTCATATACCAGGACAGAATAAACAATGATGTGATTTTCGTGCACACACACGTTTTTCTTGAATACGGGAAAACATGCATCAGCTTACTAATTCTACGACTCCAGTATGCTGACGTAAACATACAAGCCTTGTCATTGTGAGAAAGGCCAAAAGCTAAATGAATATTTAATAAGAAGAATAAGCAGTTAATCGTAGTTGAAAAGTTGAAAAATTAGAGTAAAAGACTTAGCTAAAGTGTAAATGAAAATATAAAATACTTAACAGATTAGTTTGTCTTTCATTTAAGATACAAGCATACTGTCAATATATCCATGGATATACATACATACTGCATATTGTCCAGGGTGATCTATATATACTTTCAATATATCCAGGGAGATATAAATGAAGCAAAATGAAGATAAACTAGTTGTAGTCTTTATTATCAACAACTCTTCTATTAATATTGTCAACATATGAGCATACTCTTTCGACATATATCCGTATAAAATACTATCTTATTTAAAATATATATATAGGCTACTATATTAACCCCAATTGTCCACTTTCCTTTTAATGTGTTGCGTTTCAATTTGACAGTGAATCGTTAGCCTGTTTGGTTGGCTGTAATGGAATATTGTACTAACATGTATATGTTGTATATATACAGGTTGCACTATAATAAACTATTTCATTCGTGTACCCCTTTGCAACGGACCTGTTCGATGAAGAATCCGTATACGAGTAAACGCTTTGGTAACGTACTGTTCGATTAAAAATCAGTATATCCACTGGTAACAGGACCGCTAGAGAAAGAATCAGAATAAACCTCATGGTAACGGGCCTATTCGAGGAAGAATTAGCATAATTTTTTTACATAAATTTATGAACTTTCCGAGAAAAATTAGTATGACTCCCTTGGTTATGGAACTATTTAAGTAATAACTTGTATAAATGCTTGTATGAGGAAATATTAGTATAAACCCAAGATTTATGAATAATAAAAATGAGAACCTTTGGTTTATTCTACACCAACGTAGAAGCTGCTAGGTTCAAGAATTATACGGAAGAGAAATATCGAAAAATTGATTAGAAAAATTAGGCATTCTTCTAATTGAACGACGCATACTGAGTTTTATAATCTAGTCAAGTATTTATATAACCACTTCAGGATTTTCAAGAAGATTATTTCATGAGCATGGAATATGAGAATTATGCTAAGAACACTACTTTAATTTGATAGTATTTATATACGTAAACATATAAAACAAAATGAAATTTACTGTCTTAGTAACAGTATGGAATTCATTTATTAGTAAAAGTTAAATATATATTGATATTTACTGCAACCAACTAAACAATCTATTCGATTCTCAAAAAGACACATTTCATACATAATACTTACGAAAAAAGAAAGAAATACTAAACATTTTCTTTAAAAAGTGTATAGAAAACGTTTTAATCGTTTAATTTGTTGACCCTAAAATGAAGGAGTTGTACTGTAAACATAACTAACAGCAACCTAGCAGCACACTACGAACTAAAATAAACATACAGCCATATTTTTGTGATCCTCAACACTGGTAAATAAATTACACCAACAGTTGAAGCAAGTACTCAGGTTATAAATTACACGGGATCCAACCAATTGGGGAGGTAGGGGAGAGATAGAAAAATAATAAAGAAAGACGTATAAACCAACAATTTTAATGCCGACATGTCATATTTTTTACTTTTAAAATAGATCGTGATTACGTGATTAATTTTGTTATTATATTACATAAGAGCAGACTAGGCAGAATGTTCGACGGGCAGACGAATCTCAAATCTTAAAATGTAAACACATTCAGAGGTGAAGAAGGAATGATTAAAAGATAAAAAAAAATCATAGTTCTTTTTTTGTACTTTTTGGTAAAAACCTGTTTTTTTTAAACGTTAACAAACGTAAATATTTCGGAAGACCAATTCCCCCTAATCTTTATTTCGTTTATTTTGTCGAACAAATCTTAATTTGATTAATGAGAATATTGTTACATAATTGAATTGATATATTTGGTCAGTAGTTGATTGTTTGTGAAATTTTATATTAGTTAGTGTACTAGATTGTGTTTTTCTTAATCTTTTTATTACGTTTCTGCATGAAACCTCTTAAGAATTACCATAGTAACAATATATATATATATAGGAATGTCCATGCAAGGAATATCATCGGTAAATTCTTCATCTATTTAAATTGTATACCCCAAATATAGCAAACCCACAATATCGTTATGTGATTTTCGAAATCAGGAATATCCACGATAGATGTATCTTTCACGTCTTTTTATCTTTTTATTTAGATTTTGGTGTCTTTTTCAAATCTTTGGTAGTATGCAGATTTCACTTTCATCTTCTCTGGAACGATTTAAGGTTTGTCATGTGATGTAAGTGTTTATGATTTGTTATACCTTATGACTTCTAAATATAAAAAATATGATGTGTGGTATGATTGCCAATGAGACAACTATCCACCAGAAACAGAATTTACGAGCGATATAATCAGCATCAGGCACAGCCAAACTTCCAAACCAAATCTTCCTATCTATGAAAGAATTAAGTAAAGGTTTTAGGTTATTAGAGCTAGCTTAATCCATGTGTTAATAATTTACCAGTTATACTTAAATACATTTACGCGATATAATTAGAAAATTCTTGATTATTTAAAGCAAACAAATCATATAATTGCTATAAATTTTGACCAGTTACTGGAATTTAGACGGATCTTTACTGAGTTTGACCATGAACGATGATTCATAACATTGTGGGAACAGTCGTTTAAACGGGCGTTATTGATGCCCATATGCAACTTTTCGATTCATCTAATTGACGAAACTTACATAAATGTTTTCAAAGAGAAGATTAAAAAGCTCAAATAATTTCATCACGATTCAAGTAGGAACATCTATATTTAAAATAAGGAGATGTGGAAAGATTGATAATAAGACACTTAACCACAAGAGTCAAATATACATGTATGTAATCCACGATAGATCACCATAGGGCCTTTAACAAATAGATAAAAAGAAAAACCGTATAGTCAGCAATAAAAGACCTTGACACGAAAAGCTGAAGCAATTCAAACGAGAAAACCCACGACCTGATTATTTTTAACACAAAAATTAACGAAAAACAAATATGACAGATATGAACCATCGACAACCACTGAATGACAGGCTCCTGACTAACATATTCCACAGAAAGCTTAACGTTATACGATTTGCTGCAAATGAATTTGCGATCAGATTAATCGAAGGACTTTTTGATTACTCAAGAAATTGTCTGTTTGATAAGATTGTGTGGAAATGTAACACTGTAATTAGATCTTTGAATATTGTTTTATCGGTATAAATATTGATTATGTTATTAATTAATTAAAACCCAACTAAATATAATTGCTATACACATATGTAAATTCATGGTGCTACAATCTGTGGATACCTATATTTAGGGATTGCACGCACAAGGTCATGCTTTTCTATGACTGTTAATGACGTCTTTCAAAACACAAAATCAATTGGATGTTGGATGTGTACTGATTGATATTTTTTTATTAGTTGTTATTGGCTTTAAACTAGCTTTCAGTAACTGCCAGTACTCTCAGATTTGTTCTTTGTGTCTTTTGTGTCTTTTGTGTTTTTGTTATTTGTTTTTCTTCTTTGTATCGATCTGATGAGTTAAGCCCTTTTCAATTGTAGTTGATAAATGTAAATTTCTGCTTCATTTGGTTTCTTGTTGAGAGTTGTCTTATTGGTAATGATACCACGTCTTCTTAATAAAATATAGCGATTTTGTTTGGTGATCTTGTTATTTTGTATTGCTCTCACACTACTCCCTAGTTTCTGATTATACTTTATAAATTTGTATATGAAATGACTTACTCCACTGCCATAACGACCCATTTTTATTCTCTCTGCTAATGTGAGTCCATCTTTGTTCTTGCTGCGCTGATATTTGGTTTTAAGTATACGGCTTGCATTTACATAGTCCATACCGTAAACTTGCATAAAATTCTTCTTCAATTTAGTTATATCCTCTTTAGCTACAAGTATAAAAAAAATAATAACATCAAACGAAAATAAAAAAACAAAACAAAACAATCACAGTGATCGGTAGAGTTTCAATAACATGGTCTTTTTCTGTCTATATGTGACAGATTTGTAGGAACTAGAATAGGACTAAACGCTAGTTAAACTTAAAGTGACGATAAATAAAAACGGGTGACGATGTAAGTAAATGTTAAAATAAAAAAATACATTAAAATCAAATCATATATAATGGTTTATTCCGTCTACATAACTAAGGATAGTTCAATAATTTTGTTAAGATATTGCAATTCTGTTTTTGTAGAATTCAGTATTAGATATTTTTTGTAAAACATTAAAGACAAATACCACCATTGCAGATACATGGTTCTTTGATTAATATTAAGCGCCATTCAACCTGTCATTTTACAAATCTCGTCTCCAAATAAAATTTTATTATGGCATGAAAGCATATGGCATTTTAACAGCTTAGTTTGCGGGGATTTAACAAGTGCGGTGGAAGTTAATCAATCTTTCCAATAGCAATAAAATATAAACAGATTTATTATATCCAATTTACCTTTATATTGCGTGTTGTCATTATATTAGTTTGTTAGTAAATGTAGGAAAAATTGCTTTTCCGGTTATGAAATCTCATAAATCGTTTATCGTTTAGGTATTTCATCTGAGAAACCGTAACAGCAACAAAAACAGGTCCCAGGTCTCCGACGAATATCGGTATAAACTGCCAAAAAACGTCTCCGTGAAAACGGCGAACGTGCCAGACGTGCTTACTTTTGGGGTAGTACTGAGACGCCTGCATCGACTTGCAAGCGTCTGATGATACAACAGAATAAAAGGCCTGCAACACTGGAGACGACTCTTATTCAGCGGTGAATCAAGATTAATGAAATGGAGATAAGATGGCCGTACACGTGTCAGCCGACACCGCAATGAGCGTTTCGCAAGGACGTTTTTTGACAGTTTGTGCCGATATTCGTCAGAGACATGGGACTGCTGTTTTTGTTGCTGTCACGGTTTCTCAGGCGAAATACCTTAGCGTAGCGATCTTGGGCTGCTGATGTGATCATAAGTCGTCCAGAACGTTGACGGTCAGCTGTTGAGTATTGAAATCGTGTTCCGGTGAACAATATGAAGTCAAGCGACTGCATTCTGTAATTAATCGGCCTGGAGACGATCATGATTCTAAAGTTCTTACCACCATTCTTTATACAGTTGAAGATTGCCTTCAGAATTATGTTTATACCTCGCCCGTAATTATAAATTATGTAATTCATTGACCGCTCCCGACATGTGTTGCTTCAAGGCATATTTTAGCGGCGATCGATGTCTTTCAAAATTACTGCACTTTTCTTGTATCCCTGGTGCTTTCGACTGGAGAACCGTCGTACACAAGCATCGCACAAGTTGGCACTCCGAGGCGGGTGGGGAGCAAGAAGGTGAACTGTGTTTTATTTTTATCAATAGTACCGCTAAGTCGACGCTAGGGGCCGTCTTGACCTTGTTGTAGGGTATGAATGATTCGTTCATTGTTGAAGACCCTACATCGACTGTCAAGATGAAGAACAGGAATAAAAGCCCTGTTCATTGATAATTTTCTATGTTTTCTATGTATTGTGTGCGATTTTGTCCCATGTACATTTACTTCATATCCTTTCATTTTCTATTATAAAGTATATTCAACCAAGGGTGTCACAGTTGTGGATTCTTAAAAAACCAAAAGATCTAATCCAAAATCTTCAATCACAACCTTTAGAATTTTGTCCTTGAGGTTGACAATTTTGTCCTTGAGGTTAACATTTTGGCGGAGGAAGTATGATGATGTGGGGAGCCATATCCTACGACCGAAAAACTCAATTTGTGCGCATCCCCAGCATCCTTAGCGCCGCTCGATACAGAGATGAGGATTTTGACACCACCGATGCCCGTAATGAACCTCCGTACTAGGTAATATGTTAACACGACAAGGCTCGGCCGCACTCAGCTCGTGCTATTGTTGACTTTCTAGCCTATACAAATAAGAAGATGTGGTATAATTGCCAATGAGGCAACTCTCCACCAGAGACCAAATGACATAGAAGTTAACAACCCTACCCCTAATCCTGGAACAGTGGTGCAAAATATCAACACAAGAACTGTACAAAACAATAAACAATCAACACAGATGATCAACAGCAACAAACAACAACAACTCAGTTGTAGAACACTTACTATAGAGGTCGAGATGAAACGTTATTTTACGTTTTTTTGTGAAGTTTAGGTAAACAAAACATAGTACGGACCATCGATTGTTGAGAAGAGGCCTTGCTTTGATGCGGTTATGATATGACTGTTTATTATATGACTCTCTGTAGAACGCACTGACCTGAATGTAGAAGAATTTATAATTTCATTCTTAAGAATTTCCGTGTAGTATTTACGTCATACCACAACCACATTGTTGGCTGCTTTGTCGGCCGGTACAAGCAAAAACCGCTTTGCAAGTACTTGAAGTTTGTCTCTTATTCTAAAAATAGGCGTATTATGTACTCTTTTATTCATTTCTAAATTATTTTCAAAATGTGATATTTGAATATCCACAACATTCATACACTTATTTAAATAAGAATCAAGCGATCTTTTGTCAGATTTTTCTCCGTTTACACCAATTTTTACAATACGATGAAAGATACAACCAAACTCGCCGCAAACTCTGCAAGAACTACAGCAGGCTCTTGAGCACGAACGAAGGAGAATTTCGCCAGATCGTTTCTGTCGATTGATCGAGTCTATGCCGAGACGGGTACGTGTTGTGTTACAGGCTAATGGTTGGCACAACATTTTTTGACTTTTAAGGTCAAGTTACCGTAAATGGGCTATGTCACAATTTTTTTTTAAAGTTGCACACAACTTTGGCTTGTTGAAATTCAACTAAAAATGTGCATTTATCTCTTTTATTTTCTGAAATATTACTGATTGAATTCTTTCAAAATAGGTGAACATTTGTATCGAAAGCACATAAAATCGAAAAATGTTCTTAAATTTGTCTTAAAATCATCAAATTTCCAGTTTTCAACACATAGTTTTTTCTTAAAAAACTATATGTCATTGGTACACAAATTTCTTATTTAATGATGTAAAATAATAATAGGGTCACCATATACATATCTTATCTTATTTTAAATTGAAATACATTTCAATGAAGCCGTTATAAAACAAATCATTTGAGCAATGAGTCGTAAGACATGGCAAATATACTGAAAAATTAATATCACAAATTGATATTTCTCAAAGGTATTGCTTTTATGAATACGTAATATTGTCGCAAAATAAAAAGCAAAACGAAATAAAAAAAAGTCTTTGACGCGGTGGATAATAGTGCTGTTTGTAGTTGTTTTGTCAATACTTGGATGCAGATTTTATAAATGAATTTGTCACTTACATAAAATATAAGATAAGTATAACATTTTCTTTCTTAGGCTGAGTTTGGACAGATATTTCTATCGAATCAATAGTGACTCTAAAATTGCTATTTTTTTCAAACGATTTTTACAAAAAACTTTTCTTAATAATCTAAAAACTTTATTAATAAAAGTTCAGGCTATATGTCTGTAGGAAAACAATGCAACACAGTGTAGAAATCAAATGAACAGTGCTATAAACGTTTCATTTTAACTTTATATATTTATAAAAGCTGACTGTACATTTTCGTTTCTGGGTTTCGGTATATTTATATCCTTTTCATCGAGTTTCGATATATTTCCAAAACTGTGAACAGTAGAAAAGAAATCAAGCCATAATGAATTGTATCCATTCTGTTGTTTTTTTTTTATCCATATTTATAGCAGATTTATAGTGAAACTTGCCAAAATTTCGAAAACCCATAACTTTATCCAAACGTATAATAGAATGGAAAACCACCATCATACATAAAAGATAGACACACTTGTTTTTATGTCATTTATGACCGGATTTTCCGACTCTCAAGAGGGTTTCTTTTTTATATTCTACATACACTTCCAACCTTAACATAACTAAACGCTTGTTTTATCAGCTATCCCTTACCATATCGTTCAAATACCAGTAGCAATATGCAACTTGAGTTGATCAATTATTATTACAATAGAAACATTGTGGATGTAGCTGAATTCTTTGATGTATATTGTAATTGTAAAATTACGTTTCCAACAAAATTATCAAACACCACCAGGAGCTAAGCGAATAACATTAAATACGCAATTCAATTTTAAATTGGAGTAGGCAATTATCTCAAATTGCGAGACAATGAATGTACGTCAGTCAGCTTTCTCAAATTTTCATTAAATACAGAATCCATAATTTCATTATTTTTTCTAATCTTTAGAATTATGCGCTCATTTCCAAGCTATTTACATAGGTCGACAACTTTGATATATTTCACCAATAAACAAATTTTGTTAAAATTTGAAAACTAAGAAATATTAATGTCAAACAATGATAAAGAAAAGTGCAGTGAATGCAGAAAAAAGGAAATGCGGCAAGTCTGCAAATGCAAATGAGACAACTATTTAACACAGACCAACGGACAAGAATGTAAACAACCACTGGTCACCGTAAGGACTTCAACAATGAGCAAAACACATACCGTATAGTTAGCTATAAAAGATCCTATTACAATAAAATAATAAACAACTAAAATAAAAGAAGAAAGTAATGGCCTGATTTAGAGCTTACAACGTTAAACAAAGAAAAACCAACATGGCAGACACCAACCAACGACTAATGGACTTCTGTATTGTGAGAGACTGACCGAAAATTTGGCGGGGGTTAAACATTTTTCTGAATGCTCAACCTCCCCTACCCTTTTAGTTTTAAGATGAAGCTACAGTAATAATAATGGAAATACTTATTTGGAAAAACAAATATTTCGTGCGAAACGAGTTTCGTTGTATTCAAAGTAATCTAAGATGGTGGAAATGGTAAAACGCGAAGACTGTTTTTCAATACAATGACTTAATTGTAATCTGGTGTTATTGTA